AAGCACTTTGATAGGTATTTCCAGTAACTCATTCAAGTATACAAAAGTACAACAGTAAAAACAAACCAAATGTGACGATTTCTGGGTAATCATCCGTATAATTCGCCGGCTTAGAGGCATTTAGTACGTATACTGGAGAAACGTATTTTGTTGCGACAATCGTGGCCTTGAAAACAACAGTCAGTTAAGTTAAGAGGTTAAGCGCTAATAAACAATTCGAGGGTAGAATTCTGGCGTTGGGTAAACGGCACTAATTAAAAACCAAAACCTGCATATCGGTGTTCCAGTTCCATTGAATGTACAAGTAAGCTTGGCTTCTGTCATGTTGAGAGCATCAATGAAAAATGGCTGATTTGGATTCGGAATCAAACCACCTACATGATTATGAAGTTAAATGTGCATTTGGTAATATAAGTTGTGGGAAGCCTCAGAATTTCTCAGCTGCCTGAATTTACCTTTTGTCGAATGTGTCCACACGTTGTTTGGGAACACAGCAATTGATACAGCAATTACGGACTCCCTTTGTGGTATAATAGTAATCCAGCTTAAATCTTCCGAAATTTTTCCTGTCAGTGTCACCACCGCATGATATGGCCGCACTATAATAATTTATGAAAGGATCTTTTAATGCAAAAAATTTTACTGGTACTCTAATTTAGACTAAATTTTGATCCAAACTGCATCGTTTAAAATAAAATGCTAAAATAAATTACTTGAAATACATAGAGAAGAAATAAAGAATTTTGGAGCACCTACCTTGAATATATGTGCAGGTGAAGTAGCTGGTTGTGCGAACGCCATTTGTTATTGGGAAGCTGCGATTGTTAATAATAACAGCCTACAATAAAATAAGGGGCAATTATCCTTTTTAAGAGTAGTTATGATGCAGTAGAACTCCGTTTTACCTTATACACATCAGGTAGAACAGATTGGAGCGTATAGCTGCTGTTTATCGGACCTCTGATTATCCTTGTGCCATCTTTAATCGGGCCGATTTGTGCGTCTACAATTAGAAAGAAACGGGAAAAGTAGTGGCTTATGTGAAATTTGACTTTACACAATTGGCTAAACTTTGATGAAAGGCATTTACGTGTGTTTTTCCCCTTTTCCTTTCTAAACTTCTTTTTAAAAATACACCACAGTTAGGTTACCCTTATAATATCTTGGTAATGAATAAATGTAATAAGTAAAAACCTATTTCTAACGCCCTTTGTGGAGTTTCAAATCCACAGGTTTCCACTGAATGATGATCAGAGTGAAGTGTGGGTGAAGCAAATAACCTTGTCGAGAGAGAATATGTGCAAACAGGCATGAAAAGAGCAGATGCATAAAGTTTATTCTGAGCAGCATAAGTCCCTCACTAGAATCCACGCAGAGAAAAACAATTACGAAAATTGCAACGGCTCTTAGCATAACTGAAGCGATTGGCGTGCTTGATCGGAAATCCTGCATTATAAGGGGTTCCAGTGCTGTCGCCAGACTAGTCTGTGCTCATTGGTCCAGCCTGCCTGATCTTGTTCGTTGGAGATTGGTGCCTCGGTTGTGGATGCATATAGTCCCACTTAAAGATCACCTCATGATGTCATGACTTTAAAGAGCTCTAAATTAAAGTTTGGTTTCAAATTCTAATGAAATAGCCGGTTGCATCTTATTCGAGAAGGTTGTATGGGGAAGTTAAAGGATTCATTTTTTGCCTCAGTATTGTGCAAAGGGCTTCTTAAAATATACTTTACTCACTGCAGCTAGAACTAACAAACTACATCATTATTTCCCAACAGGACACTGCCTTGGCAACACCAAACCCATTAAAACACTGCGCCACCTAAACCAAACGGCTCAAGACTGGCCAGTTTACACCGTTTCTGTTTCACCATTATTTTTTT